TTCCCTCTTTCACTGTGTCTCTCTCTGTCAAATAAATAAATAAAATCTTTAAAAAAAAAAAAAGAAAAAGAAACAGCTCTTAGAGTCACAAGGAGGTGGCCCTCTCTCCTTAGGGGTTGCCTGGTTCAAAGAACAAGCTGAGCGTGTTGAGATGGCAGATACAGCAGGAGCCTGTGAAAGAGGAGGAGACAGAGGCTTTGACCTGTGCTCTGAAGTGTGCAATGCCGGCACGGGGGTTCACGGTGTGCACAAAAACCACAGAGCCACCATCTTGGTCCCCCATCTCCTCTCCTCCTCTGCCACCCCTCTTAGTGCCTTTTGGAAAATTGGCGGAATTTTCAGAAATCTCAGAAATGGCAGAAGTCAGCCTCAAAGCGTCAAAGGAATGAGGTCTAGACCTTCAGCTCTTCTGCAGAGTGGAATTGGGGGATCCTGAAAGAGCCCCAGTGACTTGGATATTCTCATCCATGCAGAGTCCTTGAGGGAAGAGCCAGAAACAGGGAATTAAGGAAAGAGCATGGGTGTTGGTAGCCTATCAGCAGGGAGGCAGACGCTGCCAGAGCTGGGAGGACCAGAGGGAGGATTCTGGGCTCCTGAAAACTCTTAGGCATGTGGCCTCATTCTGTGTGTGAGGGTGGGGCGGTGGGGGAATGAGCACATCACCACACTGAGGTCTCAGCAGCCCCAGGCCAGGCGGGTCATGCCGCTGGGCCCTGCGAGCCTGGGGACATTCCTGCTTGCTTCTGTTTTCTCTCCATCATTGCTCTATCAACAGTCATCCCACAGCAGGTGCTGGGAGGTGTTTGCTGAATGAATGAATGCTCCCTTACCCACAAAGGTGAAGCGCTCCACTGGTGGGCGGACACAGCAGATCCGGCTTAGGCTTTCTCCCACCTTCCCCAAGATCTTGGCTAGGGGAGAGAGCAAGACAGACAGGGACAGAGGGAGAGAACCACTCACAACTTACAGCCCGGCATTTGGGCCACTTAAACAATAGGGTTGCCCTGGAGGGGGCAGGGGTGGGGGTAGTGGGAGGCAGGAAGGTGGAGAGAAAGAACAGAAATATGACAGCAAACATTCCTTCCCGTTCACAGTCCAAGGCACAAGCACTGTGAGCCACAGACCGGACTATATGTTCTGCTTGTGTTTATTATACTGTCAAAGAATGGAAAATGTAGAAGAGGAAAATATATAAAGAGGAAAATAAAAAGCACCCATAATCCCATCCTGGGAGACACCCACCACTAACACATTGGCATATTATTTATTCTCCTCCACTTAAAAAAATATGCATTATGCAGGTATGTTTGTACACCATAAGTTGGCTCATATTCTGCATTTAAAAGACATATTTGCTTTTTTCACTTTTTAATATGAGCCTTAGCCTTCATTCCTTCCCATGAAGATGGACTTTATAATAATCAGACATCCTGCTTTGGCTGAGAGGGATCTGGTTTTTGATGACCTCTCTGGGCTCTAATCCAGAAAATTTTTCTGAACCCCCACTTGTAGCTATATGAGACTTTGTGACTTACTCTGTTTAGAACATACTAATAACCTTATAGCTTATGGTCTCTAGGCTTGAAAAGTAATACCAGGATCTGTCTCTTGCAATGGGTTGGTAAAAAAAAATGTTGGAAAAAACATGGACCTTGGATTCAAATAGTCCTGAACATGAATTCTGACTCTTCTACTTTTGAGCTGTGTGACCTTAGGCAAATCACTTACCCTCTCTGAATTTCAGTTTTCTCCTTGTAAATGGGAACATAATATCTTTATCACAGAATTACTGCACAAAATACGAAATCACGTAAAACACTGGGCATTGTATGGGCACACAGGACTCGGTGTTGGGTAAATGTTGGAGCCCTTGCTCTCTGCCACTGAAGAGGTGGTTGAATGTGTGGGATTCTGAATGCAGATGCCTGGGTTTGACTCCGAGTCCTGACACCTCCTCAATGTGTGACCTTGGACAAGATCCTCAACTCCCTTGGAAGAGGCAGAGAAAAATGCTGCCTTTCGTATCTTTAATTCCCAGGAAGGCAATTATAAATATAATTTATAAATATAATTTAGAATTATAAACTTATAAATATAAGAAAAAATGCACACCATCAACCCTGTCTCTCTCTCATTGTGACTGCTTCTCTCTGATGCTCTATTTTAAGGACCAGTGTCACCTTGTTAAAAATGCAAATTTTCCTTCCTTCTCCCAGACCTACTAAATCACATTCTGGGGAAGGGCCTAGCAATCTGGATTTTAACAAGCCCTCCAGCTGATTCTGAGGTTTGAGAACCACGGCTCCACACCGGTGTCCCCCTACCTGCAGTGGGCTTGCTGGACACATTGCTGTTCTGGTAAATGGGCTGGGGGGTCTCATTTTGGGGCTGTCCGACCACAGGCGTCATGGAGGGCGTGTTGACATTGGAGAGGATGCAGCCAGTCACCCGCTGGGGAAAGGGAGAGGTGCAAGGTCAGTGTCATTAGCCAAGTGACTTATGAAAAGCATTCCTAGTGATCTTCAAACGCTCATCCGTTCGTCTATCACGGGGAAGCCATTTGCAGCTGAGGTGGTGGCAGGGGCGGGTTCTAGACTCAGCTGTACCACATGGCTGCACGTGGCCGGCAGGAGGCAAGACCGCTAGCTCAGGGCTGGAAAAGCATGGGACATAGTGTCGCACAGACGCTGGCTCAAGTTTGAGCTCTGCCCCCCTCTGGCTGCATGACCTTGGAGAGTTACCTTCTCTTGGACCTCAGCTCAGGAGTGTAGCACGGACAGGCCACATAGCTGCCTATCCGCGTTGTGGTCGGATTACACATGCGAGTGTTTGCAAAGCATGTGCCTACAGAGTATGTGGCCCCTGGCCGCCGATGTTGTAACCTTCTGTGTAACGTGCACACCTGCCCTCCCTGCCTGCTTCCCGGGGCTCACAGGAGGTCATGTCCGCAGAAGGGCTGTGTACGCTTGGCGCAGGTCATACGAACACCAGGCACCGTCACCACCTGCCGCCTCCCCAGGCCAGAGATGCCAACGACAGGATGTGTTGGTGTGGCAGGAAGCGGGGGTGGGGTGCTGGGCACTCTCGCGCCTGCTGGCGGGTGTGGATACGCATTCCAGAGCCAAGCGGAAATTCTATGTGTATGATCCATTGTGCTGCGTTATCTGGCCTGCAGTTTTCCTCTGGGGCCGCAGAAAGCACTGAGCTGATAAGGCCACGTTCTTCCCAGCTGACCCAGAAGCCACCCCCGTTCCCTGTTGTGGGTGGGAGAGCCCATTCTGGGGCAACAGAGAAACAAAGGATGGATTTTTCAATCCGTTCAGCTTTCCAAGGGCCGTTGCTTCTGCAAGGTCCCTTCCCTGAAAGCCAGTGTCCCACCCCCGTGCTCCACTCTTTAGGGATTCCGGAGTCCGGCTGCCAGAGAACCCCAAGCCGCAGGGCTGCCACGACCCTCGTGACCAGCCGTGGCTGGTGGAGTGGAAGGGGCAGCCCACCTCCTTTCTTATTATTATTTCACCTCCAGAAAAGAAAACGCCACATTCTCATTAAGTAACTGGTCCGGTAGCTGAGGAATTGCTTCCTCCCGCTGCGCACGTCATGGGCCCCATGGGACTTGTTCTAGGTAGAGAACATTCTCTGTGCCCGTCACTGCAATGGCTGGGGCTCCTGGCTGAGCTGCTCTGGCCCAGACTCCTGCCTCTGGGCATGAGTAACAGAGGGAGGGTTCGGGAAGCCCAGGCATTTAGAAGCAAAACAGCGGCTAGGCCACATGGCTGGTAGAGGCAGGGTTCAGGCATGTGTGCGGGGCCCCTGATTCCTCCTTTCCGTCATGGAGCCTGAGGCTGCTGTGTGATCAGAAGGCGCACAGGCCCCCGGCTGACCCCTAGCTGACATGTAGCGTGAGAAATAAACTGACATGAAGTCACCAAGATTGTAAGGATGCTTGTTACCACAGCGTACCTATCCTGACTGATACAGTAAGACGGGATGGGATGCCTTTTATTACCGCTGTCGTTGAGACCAGCACAGGGAGCAAGTGAGTGCCATCCTGTGGCAGAGTCCTTTCAAGGGGACCAGGAAAGACTCAGGATGTGTGTGAAGGATTCTGAAAACGGAAGGAAGGGAGGTGCACTGTCTTCAGTTCCGAGGGGGACAAACCTAGCAGATGAAGCAACAGCCAGCTAGAGCCCTCCCTCTTCCTCTTCCTCTTCCTCTTCCTCTTGACTCCCTGGCTGGGCGGGAGCCCGAAACCCCTACTCTATTTAAATCAAGCACAGCTGCCCAGTTGGTGAGCATGATGCTGACAGGTCCCCCAAGGAGCGGATTCTGACACCCACTGACAGAAAACACAGATGCACAGAGGCTCAGCGTGTGTCAGAACAATGCCATCCAGACTGCCGATGGTGGCTGACGAGGGCACCGGGACAGGGTCAGTGGGGGTGGGCAGGACCCACTGCCTCTTGTCTTGGGCGGTCAGGCTTCTTGCTCTGGATGGCACTGCTCTTCATGCCGTCACTGTGGAGATCCGTGCATTGGTGTTGATCTGGGAAGCGCACTTTCCGCGCACTCTGGCCAGTGCTGCTGGCTGGTGTGGCAACCTGCTCTTCGGTTGCGACAACCTGGGCACAGGCCACGTGCTCCCATCTGTGTTCACTAAGCAATGGCTGTGTGTCCTCAGATAGATGGGCTCACCTCTCTGGGCTTCTTTTTATCCACTCATATAACAAGGACCAGAACACTGTCTGCCTTGGAACTCATGTGAGGAGGAATGAGAGTGAGCAAAGGGACAGTGACTGGCAGGGGTGAGGTGCCTCGGCCCCAGAACAGATGGGGCAGGAGCACCCGGCTGATGGCACTTCCTCCCAGCGCCCCTCTGTGCTCCTGCCTTCCTTGGCCAGGTCTCCTTCCCTCCTCACTTTCTGAAGTCTCTCCTTAATCCCACCCTGGATTTGCTGCCAGAATATGAAAAGCACCCGAGTCATACTGAGCAGGCGGAGCAAGGCCGGGGGGCAGCCTCCGGTATGACTCGGGTTCCTAATCGGCTGCCCTCCTTCCTGCTGTTCGGGGCCTGGTCTCCCACACAGCTGGCTGAGAAGCAGGAAACTGAACCAGGTCAGTAGGCCAGCAGCACCCTTACCGGGCCTGCCTCGCTTTCGGGGGCCACCCACCCCTCTGCCGTGGCTCAGCTCACCTTCATGAGGTCCCGATGGTGCTCCAGCACGCTGCACGTGGTCTGCCAGGTGTCCTGATAGCACTCCCATGGGTCCACCCTAACATAACCAGAAAGAGGCTTCCCTTGGTTTCCATTCTCATACTCTTTCCTTAGTGGCTCCTTCCAGAGACCGGAGCTCAGGGAGCTTAGCACACCGGCTCATGCCGTGTCCTTAGATCCCAAATCAGATCAAACGTGGGCTTGAAACACCTTCCTACACCTCAGTTTCCCCCCTGTAAAAATGAGAGTATGGGACTTTGGGAAAGTGATGTTGTCTTTTGGTGCTCACTTTCCCCACCTGTAAAATGACTCCATAACTCTCTTGTGGGGTTATTAGAAGGGCTCGATGAGTTTTATAAACAAAGTTCTTAGTACAGAGTCTCACTCTTGTGCTTCCCCACAAGATGGAAATTCTCCTCTGGGCCCTCTAGGATTGGGATAAGGATTAAAAGCCAGGCCGTCATTGAGTGGTGGCTGCAGATATCTGAATATCTGTGCAGTGGGGGGCCTTGTGGCTTGGGGGGGGGCGTGCCAGTCAGACTAAAGGGCACAGCCCTGCACCCTGGTCAGCCCCTCCTGTACACGAGGATGTGAAATGAGCAGGGAGCTAGCCCAGACCGATGAAGTGTTCGGGCTTAATTGCCATCTTAATGAGCTGCTAAATTGGGATATTTCTCAAACATTTTCTTAGCCGTTGAGCATTCCCTGCCCACCTCCCACCATGAGCACACACCTAAGCTTCCCAGAGGTAAGATCTCACTGACTGAAAACCCTTGAGAGTCAGCTTGTGCGTCAGGCTCCCAGTATCTCTGACCACCACCCACCTGCCTAAAACAGATAGACTGGGCTAGACAGGCTCCCCCGGGGCCAGGGGCTAACTCTAGAGCTACCTGGGCCTCCCTAGTGACCTCAATTCCTGGAATTCTGACCTTGCCCAAGTGCCTGGAGCAGTGCAGAGCAGGCAGGGGGTGCTGGGTAAATATTCATTGAATGAATGAAGCAATTCTTTCAGAATCTTCCAGTCACATCCAAGCAGGAACAACCTCCTGCCTGTGTTTTCCCCCAGTGGACCCCATTTTCCCCAGGAGATCCTGAGCCCCAAGGTTACAAGGCCTTGTTTCTATCCCTAATGTGACCATGGATGTGCTGTTCACGCTCAAACCCCTTGACTTCTCTGGGCCTGTTTCTCACCAGAGAAAAGGCAGCTGTGTCTACCTGTATCTTAGGGGGATGAGAAAGTCGATAAAGGGCAAGTGTTTCTCACACAAATCACTACTCACGACTGGCTGGGATCACTATTTAATTATCATTGTCGCCTCCCTTCACTGCTCTCCTTCCCGCCCACCCCATCTCTTCTCCCTCATTGTGAGGTCAGCTTCCCTTCACTTCCCTGCTTTCATGGAAACCTCTAGGTGCTGCTTATTTTTCCGTGGGGGGAAATTACAGTACAAATGGTGTGCCATTATTTTTTTTAAAACGCCATTTTCTCATGCAAATTATAACTGTAGGAACTTGGGGGAGCATAATTAGCATAATTAGTGGAAGATGCTTTAATTACACTGCGAGCTCTGTGCATAAGGGTGGCTGCCATCTTAGTGAGGACGGTGGCCAGAGCCTGAGGGAAAGGCAGTGAGCGCTCCATGGGGAGCCCCAGGGAGCCTGAGTTCAGGAATGGGAAATAAGGAAGGCCAGGGAACATTCCCTAAAAGGAAGTGCAAGTTCACAGGAAGTAACTGGGGAGGAAAGTGGAGAGGCATTTCGGATTTCCTGGCCAGGCTTCACTCCAAATCCAATGATGCTCCAGGAAAATCCTGGATCCAAAAGTCCCAGAGCAGAAGAAACACTGACGCTTCCCTCGTCAGTCTGCTGGGCCCTATGGCCTGGTTATAAACTAAAGCTATCAGTTGGGCCACCTCCCACGGTTTGCATAATCACTGCCTGCAAGGGACTAACATCTGTGCCGGCCTCCCCACCCCTGTGGGATCCAGATGGCTGAGGGCATTCCTCCACTTCCTCCACTCACCCCCAGTGAGTCGCAGGCCACCCACCTGTGGCAATGGCCTGGCCAGCCCTACCTGATCCAGTCGGAGTTCTGGACGGCCAGCTGACACATGATGAGGCGGTGCCGGCTCGACACAAGGCCCTGGGGAGCAACAGAGCATCAGTGGGAGGCTCGCTGCGCTCCCCACAGCCTCCTGGAGACCCCACCCCAAGCCGGCTCCTATTCAAGGGCGCCGGGAATGAGGGTGTGGCCCCCCTGCGTGTGCACCTGTCACGCAGACACGCATGGAGCGGCAGAGGGGAAAGAAAGGGACGGAGGGCGTGGATGTGCCACTCGCGACAGGGTCCGGAGGTGGGCCTCCCGGAGGAAGCAGCCAATGCGTGCCCAGCGCAGAGACGAGACTTTTAACCCTGCAAACGGTGCTTTGTCTCGAGGCTCGAGCTGCTGGGTCGGCAACTTCCCCAGCGCCCAACCACGGGTAGCTGGGGAAGGAGGGGGGATGGACACGCGGGGAGGGCTCCTAGACTTTCCCTTTCGTGTGGCAGGCAGGGAGCGGCAAGGACAGGAATTTTAAATCAGGTCGTAAGAGGCATGGGCCGTTTCCTCCTAAAATCCGGGAAAGATCCGTAACCGGCCGCCAGTGTGGCATCCGCGCCAAGTCCCGCTCGGCCCTCAGCGGGTGCGCGTGCTCCGCTGCTGATGAGCCCCGACCGCCTGGCGCTGCGAGCGGCCCGGCCCCGGGCACGGGCTCCTCCCGGCTGCTGCCCAGCACCGACCGGCTCACGTCGGACTGAGCTCCAGAGCCGGGGGCAGGACGCCCGCGATCGGGCGTTTGTGTTTGCAGGGAGTGTAGCGGATGGCTGTGGGGCAGCTGTGCCCGAGGAGGAGCCGTAGGGTCAGAAAGGGAGGGTACAGGAGCAGAGAGGCAAAGGACCAACCCACCTGTTTTCCGTAGGAGTCGTGGACGGGAGAGACAATCCCACCAATCACAATAAACCTTCCGGTTTTGTGCAGATAATCCCTGGCTCTTTCTAATTAAGAGAAGAAAACCACACATTATAAAGGGGAAAGGTGTGGATTAAAGGTGATCGTTGAAATCAATACGTTGCTGGCTGCAAGGCTCATTGCCTTACAGCTTTCTCGCCGTTTACATGCAAAGTGCCAACTTTCAAAGTTATGTTGGCCATTCAGAAGGTTATGGGATGAGATTCTGGCCCCAAAGCAAAAGGATTTAGAACTCAAGGGGAGGGCACCTGGGTGGCTCAGTCAGTTAAGCGACTGCCTTCAGCTCAGGTCACGATCCCAGGGTCCTGGGATCGAGGCCCACATCAGGCTCCCTGCTCTGCGGGGAGCCTGCTTCTCCCTCTCCCAC